CAGATAGGTATGTAGGTAGGAAGGTAGTAGGTAGCTAGGTAGGTAGGTAGGTAACTAGGTAGGTAGGTATGTAGGTATCATCACCATCCTCATCATCATCATCACCACCCTCATCATCAACAACAGTAGGAACAGTAAAAGCAAAAGATTGATGCTAGTATGAATAATACATCTTTGCGCTTTGTCTAGCCAAAGAAGATCATAATTTGATGAAATGTATTATTATTTGCAGATTGATAGATACATAATTTATGGCGCCCGCAACTGCATAAGGTCATATGAGCGCCAAGAGATGAATGTCAACATAAAAGTCCAAATGGGGAATCAGGCTTACTCTGCTCACCTCTCTAGGCTCACCAGCACAAAGTCTGCTTCGACTATCAAGGCACCCCGGAAATAGCAGTTCACAAGAGAGTGACAAACACACAAAAGAAGTAGAGGAAAAATGGCAGATAGTAAGAATGAAGCAAGAAAAAGCAGCAGTTCCCCCTATGTTGTTCCGGCACAGTTTGAGCATGACATTGATAAATCAGCTCATTTAGAAATCTACTGTGCATAAGAACATGTTAATATACCCCCTTTGGGAATGGCCAAAAGACATCTTCAGTCAGTTACACTGCCTGTGGGGGGGGGGAATAAGTTTTTTAACACAAAAACGATCAAACAGCAATACAACATAATAATAACATGATAATAATGATATGTATACAATTATACAATGACTACTGTTTAATAGATATCACAGTAACATTTTTTTACTACATAAAAACACTGGTGATATAGAAATTACTTTGTGTCTTTTCAATGTAATGACAACAACCTGAATAAAACATCATAGTATCATTTTCCTACACTACTATACACATGCTGTGAACCAGTAAATACAATATGTGCAAAAATGTGCAAAACTGTATGGGTTTAACGACACCCCCTTGAACCACAGTAAAGTTTTTTTAAGAAGCGAGCCCTCTGAATTTAACAATATCTCCGATAGACAGAGACAAAAGGGAAAATTTGTGCAACGTGCCTTTTCCAAGGAATGAGTGGAGCTGAACCTTGAAACCCTGAACCTGTAATCCCACAATTATGACTCTGTTGTCCTATTACAACCACTAGACTACCCATACCACAAATACAATGTGCATAATCAGCTACGTGTTCCATCGTCTCAGGATATAAGAAGTAAACCAATACAGCAACTATCTTCTTCTTTCGTGAAATACGATCATCCTGCCCACCATTCCTGAGCCATATCCTAGAAAACTGCTTAAATATTGTAGGCCCATCTACAGACACAAAAAAAACAACAAAACATAAACAACTGGCTATGGTAGTGCAAGAGACAACGCTGCCGTCGTAAGGGAAAACGACGAATGGTCAAAATTTTTCGATTTTTGTATTTTTACATATTTCATAGAGTATTTAATTCTGCATCTGATGGTGTAAAAATTTGTGTCATATCCTAATCCGTTGTTGCGTAATTGAGAGTTCGTCGTTTTCCCTTACACTGGCG